TTCTCTGGTCTTCGTGGAGTCTCGATTTTACTTTGCATCTTCTGGCTTAAAGCTTTTCACCTTTGAAATCCATGAAATTAGGTCTTCATTCAAAAGTCTTGAAGAAAATCACTGAAGAATTATTTGTCAATTTGGAAGCTATTGCTTCACTTAAATAATGGATAGGTTTCCTTCTAAGAAAACTACAGTGCAGAAATGCCCAGAGCTTCTCTTCTATGATGCTCAGGACATGGAACTATGGAACTGTAAGGATTCAGAAGGACCTTGTGCAACACTCTGCTTGTACAGTTGAGGAGGCTGAGGCCCAGAGTGGTGAAGTGTAAGGAAATCACCAGGTAGTGGGCAAGCTAGGACTAAGCCTCTGGACTCATGGCTGGGTCCATGTTCTACACCTCCTGCTGTCCCTGAAAGCTGAAAAGAGGATCAAACCCCCAAATACCCATCTCCTCTGTCTCCCCAAGCCAAACCCAATAATCTATTTCTAAAACCAAGTTGTAGCTGTTTCTGAAACACAAAGTAGGGGCAGCCCCATCCCATCACCAGAGGAAATATGACCCTCTCAGCCAGAAGCCAGCTGCACTGAGAGGTGGATGGAACCCAAATCACTCCTTGGGGACCAGCCCATAAACTCTTCCTTCACAAGTGATAGAGCCTGAAAAAGCGCTTCTCTCCCTACCATAACCTAATTGCTGCTTCCCCACTAGCCTCCAGCACTCACTCTGTGCCAAGCTCTGGCTCCCACCCAGCTGCTCCTTAAGCCCAGAGCCAAACCCCATACTCCCCTGTCCTAGGAACTGGTCCAAAATGGCCTTAGCAGTCAGCTAAGAGGAGCTCTATCAAGGCCTGGAGGGCTGGCTGCCCGGACTCTGGCTGCCTGGGTGGGCTGCCAGGACCCTTCTCTGTAGAGACCTGCCCCGGCTCAGGAAAGACAAGTAAGGAAAAGGCAAGTTAGTAGCAGTGCTGAGGTGCTGCTGGGGGCTGGTGTGAGCATCTGCTCTGGCTGACCTCTCTTATTTCTGGGACTGGGAGGAATTTGATGCCACCAGTATCTGAGTGCCATGTGCCTCGTTGTTTAGGAACAGGCTCCTGGGATTTTGGAACCACACAGTCTCGTGAGGCCTGGGCCTTGTGTCTGCATACCAGCAGATGAGGCTGGACCTCAGAGAGAGGGTGAACATGTGCAGGTGACATCTTTTCTTCACAAGTTTCTCCTCTATTCCCTTCCTTGGGAGGAAGTGCTGCTTTGAGCCTTTGAGATTGAGTATTAGGATTGCCAGGATGGGTTAGTCAATTCTTTGATTTGATTTAGATGGGGTAGCTTTTCTTGGCCTGTTTTCAAAGGTCAGGCAGGACCTGTGGAAGCCCACCTGCACAGATAGTGCAGACCTAGGTGACTCCCACCCCACGACTGGCTCGCCTCTCAACTTTTAAGCCCCCACATATGAGTCACTGTTGAAGGCAAGGTGACAGTCATTCTCTGCAGGCCTCCACTTTGATATATGTAGCAATGTCTCTCAAAATTGAGCACTCACAGACCCCCAAGTTATGCCTGCAGACCTCTAGGAGATGCCAGACCTAGTTTGAAAAACGTGTGCAGTTAAATTCTTTTCTTTGACTTGAGGTGCTCCATCAGCACAGCAACATTGTAAAAACAAAGAGAAACTCAGACTCTGAAACCAGATGGCGTCACATGGCTGTAAGTTCATCTCCACATGATTCAGAAGTACTTAGGTTAATTTTAGCTTTAAAAATAGTTTTCAGAATGAAACAAAAAATTAAAAACTTCTTTTGAAACTCATGGACTCCGCCTCCCCCCCTTCCCCTGTTCTCAGGACTTTCAGGGATGCACAGATGCTATTTTGAGGAATAGTGTTGTAGAAGAGTCGTTCCCCGCTAACAAGCAAGACCTCCACCTAAGGAAAGAGCACGAGGCTGGGCCCAGCTTGGGCTGTGGCTCATGTAGCAGGCCCACCTGATTCATGACTCTATTGTCAACATCCTAGTCCATTGTTGGACAGCTCCTGCTCACGTGATGTTTTCACAGCCAAAGTTAGCTAATCTAGAATTTTCACTGACTGGTTTTGCTTTTGATCTCTGGGACCATGTTGAATTATTAAAAACGAAACAAAACAAAACAGCCCCAAAGATATTGAGGCAGAGGGCACATAGGCCTGATTTGAGCTCCTTTCTTTTTTTATATAAATGGATGCAAGAAGTTCATTGGAGCAGCCAATGAATGCACTGATTTGCTTCTGAAAAACGTACAGATGGGGGAGATGGAGTTTGGAGAAGAAGCACAGATGGAGAAGTCTTTTCATTTTGATTTGTCACTGAGCAGAGACCTGGAGTTACAGAGGGTGTTAAGACTCACAGATGCAAACACAGGGAGGAAGAGTGATACAACACATGGCAGGCGGCAGCTGGCAGGGAATGTGTTTCTGCAGGGTTCAGAGACATGAGGAAGGACACGTACCAAAGAGCGGGCTGGGAATTTCAGCACGAGCCCCTAGTGTCCTCCTGTGGGGACAGAGCTGAGTGTTCAGGGAGGGTTGAAGACCCAGTGATGCTTCCAGATGACTGATACAAGCTGCTTCTGCCACTTCCAACCCTTAAAGAGTGAGTCATGTCTCTACTTTATTGGCTGAGCCAGGCATTGCTCTCTCAAGTCTGTGTGGGGCTTGATCAATGGAGTGATTTTGTACTGTTGCTCCTTTTGGAATTTGTTTCCTTTCCCATCATTTTTGCAAAATGATCTGTTTTTTATTGGGGACACCTAAATGTAGATATTCTACCTTTGCTTTTGTGGGTTCTCATTATTGAAAATTTTGTACAGAGCTCTGAGCACAAAGGCATGTGTACAGAGTTCTGCTTTCAAAAGCATCTGTTAGCCTCTGTCACACGGTTTTTCAGCCAGAAAAGATCTTCAGAGCCACCAGATGTGGTTAGAATCCTCAGGATAAACCAATATGACTGTGTAATGAGATTCTTTCTTTGGTCCCTAGATTGTTATATAAAGTATTTGAAATTTGTAGGTCTTTCAGCTGCTTGATGAAACTCAAGAATCACTTGTGTTTAGATGCCAATAGTATGTTTGAAATGTACACTTGGGATTGGTTTTGGCTCTATATTTTTAGATGAGTTGATCATGCATAGGCAGCCCTGCTCCCCCTGGCTGCTGTTGATACTCGGGGACCTGGTAGAGAGAGCCCACCAGTGCCTGCAGCTGGGGAGCCTGAGGCAGCCGAAAATGTTTGGGTCCACATTCTGCCATTGTACCTGCTGGTGGAAATGCTGATCCTTCCCTGACCAAAGCAGGAGGGACCCAGTTTCCTTAGAGACCTGTGGGCTGTCAGAATCCAAGTCAGTCTTCCCCCTACTACCACTGCTTGTGCTGGGGCCTGTGGAGCAGGGAAAAGCCACAACTTTCTATGGCTGCGAACCTCCCCTCTTCCCTACAGTATCTCACATGGACAGGGGAGAGGTCTACCCATTCCTCTTCGGTCTGAGTTCTATGTAATGGTCCACTTAATGAAAAACAAACTTATTTCTAGAACCTTGAGCTAGAAAGAAGTCCTTAGTTAGATGAGTACACCAAGGCAGGTCTTGAGGACTCAGCATGTAAAAATCCATCTACTGCTGGACTGATGCCTAGCAGGCAGGTGGGAAGGGGAGCCTGCTGCCTGCACTGCTAGCAGCACTGCCAAATGACCAGCAACCACCCCAGCCCAGATGTGCACAGGGCATCCCTGTGGAGCCCTTGGGTCTGAAAAGAGGGGCTAGGCCATGTTTGTCCAGTATGGAGAATAGGGGCTGACTTTATGCTTCCATATTCTGTACTGGATATCCAGCCTATAAACTAATTCTGGGTGTTGTGGCTGAAGAACTTAACTAGATGGTTTGCAATGATGTTGACTTGGGAGCCAAATGGCCAATGCAGGCTCAGTGGACTTCATTTCATACCCTCCCACAAAGCATCTCTTGATACTCCTGTTGGAGAGAGACCATGGGGTGGGATGAACCATGAGGCTGAGCTCATACGGTATTTTTAAAGCCCAGGAGGATGGGAGGTGAGGCGGGAAGAGCAAGTCTCTTAATGTGGCACAATGTTATAAGGAAAGAAGTACATTGTCCTGCTGTTGGTTAAGACTATGATGAAAAGACCTGAGAAGCTGCAGTGTGAGGGCGAGGCTATGAGACCTTCGGAGGAGGTGGGGTGTTCTGTGGGCTAGTGCCCCTCTGACCAGCTCACAGACCCACCTACTTGTGCTCCCCTGAAACTACTTCCCCTGGGGAACTGAGTGTAGACCTCCCACTCTTCATTGTCTTCTTTTCTGTCCTGTTATTCTTAATACTTATCTAACTCCAAGGAATTTTATTTTAAATCACAACTCCAAGACCTCTTATTTGAAGGCTACTTTTAATTTATTAATGAGCCAGAGAAAACAGCAGAAAATGACTGTGAAAGGCCAAGAAGGACAGACAGGGGTTCATTCTGCTCCACTCACGTGCTTGCCAGACTAACGCCTTCCCGTGCCCCGTGGACGCTGCCCCAAGGATAAGGGAAGGCTGATCCTGCAGAGGGAGCACAGTGCTTCTCTGCTTCTGTGTTATGGGTGGGAAACTCTCCCCACCGCCTGTGGAAGGTTTCCCTCTGCAGGATCATAACCCTGCACATCTAAGAACTCAAAAACACAACCCTTGAAAAACATTTTTCCAATTTGCAGCTATACTTTTTCACACCTTTGGATTTCATTTTGTTTGAAGCAGCACATTTAGAGACAGATTGCAAGCCCAGCCCATTAGATTCTGTTGTTCTTTTCTTCTATGCTGCTTAATCATATAGATCCAGGTTTATATCTCTCATACCCAGAAGAGAAAATATGAAGACCTTACATTAGAGTTTTCAAAAACATGAACATACTTCATCTCATTCAATCCTCACAACAGCCCTGTGAGGTAGGCAGGCAGGCATCATGGTTCCAGGACACGGAGGACAGAGTTGTAACGGGCAGAGCTGGGAACCGAATCCAAATCCTCCGGCTCCTGGTCCAGGGCTCTTTCCACTCCACAAGATGAACTGAGCTCACTGTGATGAGCAAAGCAGCCTTTCTGCTTAGAATAGGTGAAATGTCCTGTTGGGCTTGCAAACACAGGTGATTTTAAGTACAGACCTCGTCAGAGAGCTCAGAAGATAAACACACCTGAGCTAAGTTCAGCATCAGAGGGAGGAATGGACAGAACATGGACATCTTCGACAAGGGTTTCTGCTTAGCTACTTGATTCTCACCCGGACAGTGGTTGAGTGCCGTAATGTTAAAGCAGCAAAGTCCAGGAGGAGGGAAGGCATTCAAAGGACTTTCTCATCTAGCAATTTATTGATTCCTTCACAAATCCTCTTGAGGTTGGGCCGACAGTCTCCATCCAGACTATAGAGGGTGGAGAGGAACTCCAGGTCAGCAAAGTGGTTGAAGACGTGGTTGATGCGCCCGTGGGTCCTGGGCGTCAGGTGTCGCTGCACCAGTTCATGCACCAGGTCTTTGCACTCGTGCAGGAGCTTGGAGAGCACGTTCCTATCGAAAGTGTATTCCACCTCATAGAAGCTGACGATGGTCATGGCCGTCTGGTTCAGCTTCTTCCGGAACTTCTCCACGATAACAACCTCCTCCTGGCTGAACTGGTTGTTCCGGTAGAGGATCCCAATTTTGATTGCCACCTTGATTAAGTCTTTCATAATCTTGTGGGCTTCCTTCTTGTTGTGGGTGTGCTCTTTGGTGACTTTGTAGAGCTCGTCAAAGATCTCGCTGCTGGTGTCGTCAATCAACATGTTGGCCACGGTCTTGCTGGCTATTTTGCTCAGAATCTTCTTCTGGGCTTGAAGGGCAAGACTCTTTGAACTAAAAACATCAGGACCTATGATAAGGAAAGAAATAAAAGTTAAAGAGACATGAGAACTGTTTATTAAGTTTCCACAAGTAAAACATACTAACTTGAACTCGTGTTCTTGGAGCAAAAACTCGTGTGTTTATATCCACCCCCAGTCCCTCACAGAACCCCACCCCTGCCTGGTTACCCCACCTTCCTCTCCACATGATGTACCTATCACCCTTTCAAACCTTCTAAACTGTGCTTGTGCAATTCCTTCCGCTGGAAGTTGTCTCCTCTTGTCCAGGCCAAATCTCACCTTTTCAGACTTACTTCATATATAAAGTCTTCCTGACTCTACTAGCTCGCAGAGAACTCCCTACAACTGCTGTCACACATTACATGGAAGCAAGTTATTATTTAATGACAAGAATGTAGCTCCAATGTCAATCCCACTCCCAGGGCAGACACGGATAGTTGGTTATGGTGCTCATTTTGACTGAGTTTTGGAATGCATATTTCATTGAGTCTAAGATGTCTTTTCTCACTTTTGAGATGTTGGAAATAGGGATGAGTATTACAGTCACTTTTGCCAGGCAGCAGTAGTTGTCATTACCTGTGTGCACATCAATTTACACAATAGGCGTCAGAGATTTAAGAGAAAGTCAAAAGAATTTTTATAAGAAATGTTGCCTCATGAGTGCTCTTGATGGCAGATCATGGTACTGTGCGGGGAACACGCACATCAGTAATTCCAAGTTCAAGATGCTACAGATGCGTAGTACTCTGAATGTGAAGCAGCTTAGGAAAACCATGGCCAATTTATTTTGCTGTTATTTTTCACTTTATGAATGAATGGCAGCAATATATGTGAAAAAAAAAACAAACCCCACAACACTACAGTCTTAAAAGGCTCTTTCAATAAGTATAAATAAAAATCGTAAGTAAGAAGAAAGCAACGGTTTACAATTTAATTGACAGTGTATTTTTTTTCTTTCTTAAGAGCACATAAAATGGCATCTTACAGTTGATGCTGTCTTAGATTTGATGAAATACTCTACAGGGTCACCAATGAGCTGGAGCTGACATTTGAAATGAAACCTCACTTTACAGTATGTATGCATATTGTTCTTATCTTCCCAAGGGGATTCAGGTTGCCCGAGGACAGAGACATGTCTCCCATAGCACCTAGCTCAGTGCCGGCACAGGGATGAGATGGTGCCTATTGAGTAAAATACTAGAGAAGTGCAGAAGAATCAGAAAGTCGTAAAATGCCACACACACCAAACTTTACTACGAAAAGCCAATATTTCTTCGAGAATCGAGGGTCCTTGAGAATCCCTAGCGCTTTTGTCCAGTGCTTTGTGGCCACATGGGAGTGACAGATGGGACAGGCAGAGCAGATCGCGAGATGGCCACACGCACTGGGTTCTGTTCTCCTTGTCTGCTCCTCCCCGACTTGTATCCTGCACTCTCTGCTCCCTCCGGACTTGTTCCCTCAGCGCACAGTGACTGATCATGGGGTGTTCCGGCCTCACAGACAGACTCAACACACACTGGAACGTGATTTAAACAAAGGCTCCGCATGCTCCCTCATGGCTGGCCCAGCCACACTCCCTCAGCCCTGGGTCTTTCCAGGACAGCTACTTCTGCTCCCCAGCCTCTTCCAGCTGTAAGCCCCTCATGGCTGCAGCCAGCAGTGGGTCGCTGCAGCAGGATGAACAGAACTAAAGCAGCGGGTGCCAGGGGACTCCGCAGCCCCAGCCAGGTCTGTCCCCGGAGTCTTGAGACCACAGAATCTTCAAACAACCTCACAACCAAGTGACCCTGATGTGGCCAGGCCTTCCCCTTCTGCCTCCGTACAAAGAGAACAAACACACCATGTAGAACATAAAAGGAATAGACGCATCTCCTGACTCTTTTTCACCGTGAGGAAGCTCTGGCTCTTCCAGGGTTTGAGGCAGATGATCTTCCTGCCCCGTGTCATCACCCACCATGGTCACCAGACCTTTGGGTGAATAACTTCTGTTCCCCTCCAAGTCAAATTTGTCCTCCAAAGCCAAACATTTACCAGAACCAAGTATATTCAAATGATTGTGCTGTATGCTTTGAAGTCAATTCCACAGAAGCAGCTTAAAGACTTCTGAGTAATGGCCTGTCATGAGTTAAGTGCGTGCCTCCCTAGGTGATTATTCTAATGAGAATGATGGAATCTAGATGGATCCATTCTAAAATATCAGAAAATGAGTCATTGCTTTTGTAGTCACAGCTCCTAAAAACTGCCTGAGAATAAGGTCTCTTTGAAAGCTCTTTAGAATTTCAGCAAACATGCATTGACACAGAAGCAACAGATCAGCTACATACTGGCATGTTGTGCCATGAGAGCAGGGACTTGTGTCTGTCTAAGCCCTGCTTCCCCCCAGTGCCTAGCACATCGGCGGCACATGGCAGGTGTTGGTTGAATAGCTGGCTCTGTGCCAGGCCCTTCACTGTTTAACCCTGAGAGCTGGGTAAACCAGGCATTTTACCGAGTCTTCCCTGCCAGCCTGATTCCAAACCCTGCTCTTTATGCTGCCAGCATTTCCTCCATTCTGCCCCAGAGCTGTGCTCAGACGTTTGCTCACATATACCCATAAGAATTTTTAAATAATTAATTAAATTCATCAATATTTATTCTATTTCTTTGAGACAAGGTCTCCCTAAGTTGCCCAGGCTGGCCTTGAACTCCTGGCCTCAAGCAATCCTCCCACCTCAGCCTCCCAAGTAACTGGGACTACCAGGTGTGTGCCATCATGCCCAGCCCCCATAAGAATTTTTAAAAACTATGTATCTCCTTGCATATTTTTAAAACTTGACAGCAAGTATTTTTCACATTGCATAGGAAAGATATAATTTCTAGATAATGTAATTAACATTTTCAAATTAACCTGTGAAATCATTCTTTTAAATGTGTCCAATGTAACATAAGTACCATTGTGATATAACACCCATTATTGTCCACTTAAAAAATGGCATGAGCAAGGTCTTCTTTAAAAATTGGAAATGTGCTGGGCATGGTGGCTCACGTCTATAATCCTAGGACTCTGAGAGGCCAAGGTGGGAGGATTGCTTAAGGCCGGGAGTTAGAGACCAGCCTGAGCAAGAGCGAGATCCTATCTCTACAAAAAATAGAAAAAAATTAGCTGGGCGTGGTGGAGTGTGCTTGTAGTCCCAGCTACTGGGGGGGCTGAAGCAGAAGGATTGCTGGAGCCCAGGAGTTTGAGGTTGCAGTGAGCTATGATGACGCCATTGCACTCTAGCTGGACAACGGAGTGAGATTCTGTCAAAAAAAGCAAAAAAAGATAGAAAAGAAAGAAAGAAAAAGAAAGAAAGAAAGAAAGAAAGGTAGGTTATGTTTCTTTTTCTCTTTAAAATGGTATCTCTATTCTACTTCACCTACAGAACTTTAACTTCAAGTATGTTTATATGCTTGAAAATATTTGAGCAATCCATCACAATTCTCTACAACCAAAGGATGCATATAAATTGAAATTTAAATTAAAAGAATATTCCAGGGACTGTAAATTTCTAAGCATTAAAAAATTTCTTCTGGACTGAGTTATTTTAACTATTTTAGGTATGATATAAAGTATCAAAATTTTGGTAAATACTAAACATAAAAAATAAAGCTTTATTGGAAATGCTAAATGAGATGGGCAGGGCTGGGCGATGGCATCTTGATTAAAAGAGTCATCATCACCATTGGAGTTTCACATCGACCCCTTGTTTGGGGAGGTTTTGTGTCCCATGGCAATATGTCCCAGTAAGATTCTTTGTTGGTGAGAACTCCATACTAAACCAGTGGAAAGAAGGGAGAGCCACCAGGCTTTGACCTTGGGTTTCTTCTCAGACAGAGGAGTTTGTATATAAGTATGTACTAAGAGCATGTACTGAAGTTGTCAAGAAGAATTTGGATCTATAAATTGTTCCCTCAAAATTCTCTGTCTGCACATCTCATGGAAAATCTCTGGACTCTCGGAGTTCACCGGTCCACCAGTCTGAATCCTGCTCTTCTCTAAGAAAAAGAAAGAATTCCTTAATTAAATAAATTTGAAAGACTTTGGATCAAGCAAAGTGAAATAGATTCTTTTCTGTGAGATTTTAAACATATTTCTTTAATACATTAAGCTGTTATAGCAATTCCCAGAGAGAAGTGGGTGTGATGGGCAGAATAACGGCCCCAGAGACGTCCACATCCTAGTCCCCAGACCAGTGAACATGCTACCTCACATGGCAAAAGGTACTTTGCAGATTAAGTGAAGGATCTTGTGACGGGGAGCTTACCCTGGACTATCCAGAGGGCCCGATACAATCACGAGAGTCCTTATAAGTCAAAGGAGGCAGGAGAGAGTGAGAGTTGGAGAAACAGGTGTGATGACGAAAGCAGAGGTGGGTGATGCACTCTCTGGCTCTGAAGATGGCGGAGGGGGCCAGGAGCCAAGGAGTGTGGGCGCCTGGAGAAGCTGGAAGAGACCAGGGAAGGGATTCTCCAGACAGAATGGAGTCCTGCCAACACTATATTGTAGTCCCACAAATCCAAATTTTGGATTTCTGATCTCTAGAAATGCAAGATAATAAATTAGTGTTTAAAGCCACTAAATTTGTAGCAATTTGTTACAGCAGCAATAGGAAACTTATTCAGGTGGGTAGAATGAGACGTAGCATTCCCAATTTTATTTGATCAGGGACATCTTTTTGCCTCTTGAGTAAAGTGACCAGATGTCCAGTTTGCCAGCAGTAAGGGGTTTCCTGGACAGTGGAGTTTCATTGCTAAAACTGGAATAGTCCCACACAAATT